CTGAAATCTATGATTTTGGTGGTCGGAAGTTGTCGAAAAATTGCCTCAAACTTGCCCAAAAAATCAGAAAATTCAGTGACCGTTAGTGTAATAAATTTCAAACTTCAGTGACCATTTCTGAAACTTTGAAATTTCAGTGACCGTTTTGTTATTTTCATTTAACTTCAGTGACCATTTGTGAAATTAACCCATATTTTTATCATTAACCTTCAGTTGATTAATACATATTGATGTGGTATTATCATGATCGAGCATTTCGTCATACTCGAGCCTTTCTTAATCCATGAGACAAATCCTACATAGCTCGAGGTACGTCTTGTGCTCGAGCATATAACCCCGTATGCTCGAGCTATTACAACAATGTTTTTGGATTATTTGGTGAAGGTCCTCGAGATATGTCCTCGAGCACACACCACATCGGGAGGCTGTGCATCCTTGAGTAGCATCTTTCACTTACAGACACTAATTCAACCAAGGACTTTAGCCCCCACCCAATCACCCCAAACTCAGGAATCCTAGGTCGAGAAGGAGTCTTATCTTAGGCGACTCCTCTACTAAGGGAGATTTGAACTCCTACTTACATTCCAACGCTTATTCCTATAGCCACTCCGGAGAATAAGGGGGTAAGTCCTACTAGAACTGCTCTACCTACTTCTATAATTATATCATTCTCATTCATTATTCAAGTATGTTTTTTATATATATATTTCAGCACATATTTTCTCTCTCTGACTTAAGCATCGGCCTTTGTTTCAGGTACCGAAAGATCACGATCGTGCTCCTTCTCAGTCGTCAAACTCGAAAGTCACCAGGTGCAATTTTTGGTAGCATCATTGGCGCCGAAACGCTACCAAAAGTCATGGTGAATACACGTTCAAGTCTTCTTCTTGCTAGCTCATCCGCTCCAAACCAACCCCCCGTTGCAGAGCCCCCAATCCATCAGGAAGAGTCATCAGTAATACCAGTTCCTCAACCAACCGCGATCACAGCTAAAGCATTCGAAGAACTCCGCCAGTAGATTGCAACCCTAACCCAACTACTGAGCAAAAGAAATACTACCCAGGTTTCGGCACCAGAACCTATGCCGGCCCAACCAGAAGGTTTCATGAATGATGCTCGAGATACTCGTGACGCCCATGACGACGACGGATCGGGGCCTTGGGCATACATCCCATAGCCTCAGCCTCGAGATTGGTTACCATGGACTCGGGCGAGCTCGCGCGGATCATACAAGATGGGATCACCGCAGGACTACAACAGAATACCAAGGGAGCAACAGGGTTCACCCCTAACACTCCATTCACGATAGAGGTTCTTTCATATCCCCTCTAGGACAGCTTCAAGTTCCCCCGCATGAAGGAGTATGATGAGACCACCAACCCCATCAACCATCTAAATGTCTACACAGACGTCATGAACCTACAGGTTGCACCAAATCCCGTAATGTGCAAGGCCTTTCTTCAAACATTGACCAATTCTGCCAGGGATTGGTTCGTCACATTGGAACCTAACTCTATAACATCATTTTCTGACCTCGTTGATAAGTTCTCCGCCTTCTTTGCAAGTAGCAAGCACATTAGGAGATAGCGGCCACCCTCATGCAGCTTTGCTAAGGGCCTAATGAGACCTTACGAAACTTCATGATGAGATTTAACAAGGAGAGGTTACAGATACCCGACCTTCACTTTACAACGGTAGTCTCGGCTCTAACATATACAATAAGGTATGAAGCCTTCAGAATATCTTTAACTAAGATACCCCCGAAATCAGTGACAGAGCTCTTAACCCGAGGTGAAAAATATATCAATATGGAGGAGGCAATGAAGGCTACCCTGAGCTCTGAGAAATCCCAACTGAAGAGGTCACACGGGCCCAACTTGCGACAGGATCATGTTCGGGGCAAACAGAGGTAGGAAGGGCCACCGGGCCATTTACTCGTCTGAACACTTCTAAGTCCAACATATTGATGGAGATCAGGGACATGAAAGAACTCAAATGGGCTCCTAGATTACGATCTCCCTCGGAGACCAGAGACAATAGCAAATACTGTGACTTTCACAAGGATCATGGGCACATGACGGAAGAGTGGACAATGTTACAGCGAGAGATCGAGGCATTGATTAAAAGAGGACTTTTGAAGACATAAGTTGGAAACGACAAGCGTCCAAGGAATGATCACAACAAGGGTAGGACCCCGGGCTCAGGAGGAGGTAACAAGCCCACGGGTGGTACGATCAATATTATAGTTGGAGGAATAGCATTTGGAGGAGACTCAAACAGTGGAAGGAAGCAATATGCTCGGCAGTATGGATCGGCCAGGGAGACCACTCTTTACGACATGGAAGATATTACCTTTGGGTCAAAGGATTTGGAAGGCATAGCGTTCCTCCATGATGATGCATTGGTCATATCCGCCATAATAGCCAACTTTGAAGTCAGGAGGATACTGTTGGACAATGGGACTGCAGCTAATGTATTGTCCCACGACGTCTATGTGAAGATGGGAATTTCTACCAACTAACTCAAGATTGTCAAGACCCTGCTCTAGGGATTCAGGGATGGAACAATCATTCCGGAAGGAATTGTTGACCTTCTACTGACTTTGGGCTCAGACCAGAAGCAGGTGACAGAGATTACGCCTTTCTATGTGGTTCTGGAAAGGCCACTACTCAACAAGATTAGGGCCATTGTGTCCACCTTTCATCTTGCTATGAAATTCCCAACGAGTCATGGCATAGGGATTGTGAGTGGGGATCAAACAACAGTGAAGAAGTGTTATATCTCGATTATATAGGGTTTGAACACTGATGTCATGCAACTATTCACCTCTGAGCTCGAGCTCGGGCATCAAGAATGGCTTGCTCCAGTAGAAGATTTGGTAGAGGTCGAGCTCGAGCATGATAAAAAAGTAACCATTGGTAGGGATCTTAACGCCACTCTCATGGATGAACTCATCAAGTGTTTGTCCCGTAACATGGATGTATTCGCACGGAGACTAGATGACATGCTGGGGATAGAACCGGATGTCGTGGTTCATAGACTAAACGTGAGACCTGATGCTAGACCAATAAAGTAGAGGAAGAGACAATTTGCGCCGGAGAGACGAGATGAATACGCGATGAGATCAACAAACTCGTCAATGCTCAGTTCATCAGGGAGGTCCAGTACCCAGATTGGCTCGCCAACGTTGTTCTCATCAAGAAGGCTAATGGCAAGTGGAGGGTATGTATCGACTTCACAGATCTCAACAAGGCATGCCCAAAAGACAGTTATCCCCTGCCTCGAATTGATAACTTGGTGGATAGTACCTTGGGCCACAAGTTGTACAGCTTTCTTGATGCATTCTCGGGCTATCACCAGATCTTTATGGTTGAAGAAGACCAAGAGAAGACATCTTTCATCACCGACTCCGACATATATTGCTACAAGGTCATGCCATTTGGTTTAAAAAATGCAGGGGCAACATATCAGAGGCTCATCAACAAAGTCTTTGCTAACCTGATCGGGAAGAACATAGAGGCCTATGTCAATGACATGGTGGTCAAAAGTAAGCAGGAGAATGAGCATATCGCCAACCTAGAGGAGGTGTTTTCTACTCTCCAAAGATATAAGATGAAGTTAGACTCGGTCAAGTGTGCTTTTGGAGTGGCATCAGGAAAGTTCTTGGGCTTCATGATCACACACAGGGGAATCGAGGCAAATACAGACAAAATACGGGCCTTAATATCCATGGAATCGCCTAGGAACAAGAAAGAGGTTCAGAAGTTGATGGGCCCGGTCGGCTCCCTAAATAGGTTTTTGTCTAGAGTAGCAGACATGTGTTTTCTCTTCTTCAAAGTTCTTAGAGGCAATCAGAGTTTCGGTTGGAATGAGGAGTGCAAAAGAGCTCTCTAGGAACTCAAGCAGACCTTGGCTACTCCTCCAATTCCTACAAGGCCCAAGCCCAGAGACACATTATACTTATACTTGGTCGTATCTCAAAATGTAGTGAGCGGAGTACTGGTGAAAGAGGTGAAGAAGGCTGAACAACCCATCTACTACGTGAGCAAGGTATTGTTGGACGCAGAGACAAGGTACACGTTGGCAGAACAACTTGCCCTTGCGCTGAT